CCGGCCTGGGCCCCGGGGTCCGCGTCCCGAGCGGCTGAGCACTCACCGAGCCGGGCTGCGAGCGGCTGGGCTGCGCCCGCGGCTACCCGGAGCGCCCCGGCGCCTCCCTTCGCTCTTGGTAGCGTCGGTCCGCACTCCCTGTGACCCAGGACGTCATGATGCCTTGCCTGTTTTCTCAATGATAACTTGGCAGAGGAGGAGACAGGCAGCCAGGTTCTCCTCGGGTGGTTACGTGGTATGTGCGCCTTTCTCTTTGCATGCGTTTTGCTCCCTCTTTTTTTTAAAAAAAAAATAATAAATATCTCTCCCAGTATATGTATGTATATTGTTTTTTTAGAAAAAAAAATTTCCCCCCGGCAATGTCATGATTTGATGGCTTTACTGCGTTTGCATAATCGACGCCTCTGGGTGTGTATAGATGTGTATATGTGCGTGTGATTTTTCCCCCCTTTAAATCCTGCTGCTCCTGCGACCGCCGCAGCAGCCGCTGCAAAAGCCGAAGCAAGCATGCGTTCCTCTTTTGTCTTTCATTTTACCTTGAGGGTGACGTTCAGTGCCAACTGCTCCCTTTTGACCGGCGCCAATCCCAGCCTGGGCAAAATAAATTTGGAAGAAAAAAAAAAAAGAAACGTAGCGGGGAGGGGAAGAAGGGTCCCCTTGAACCCCAATGCCTTGCAAGGGTGGGCTTCCATGCTTGGAACTCCCCCATCCCCGATCTTCCCGACCCACCTCCCAACCCCAAAACATACATTCTCCTTCTACCCACCAGGCCCAGGCAGAGAATCCACCCAGGGCCCCACTCGTGTTCGCGGTTCACACGGGCTGACTTGCATCTCTCTGTGGCGCGCTGCGCATAGGCCTCGCACAACTGGAGCTATTTTTGTCTCACAGAGATTTTTCTTTAAAGCTTTTTTTTTTTTTTTTTTTACAAATGAGGAGGGGGCAGGGAAGACAAAACTCCCAGCCTGTATTTGAGGGGTTCTATAGACAGAGCAGAAAATTGGGGGGAGGGGGAGGATCCTGGCATCTAACTCACCAGCAGGGGAGTTTGGAAGGGCATGAAGGATACACTAGCTTTTATTTGACTTACCCCATAATGATAGGAAAACTTTATATACATATATATATATATACACATATATATATAACAAAGATGTTACAGCTAACTATTCAATGCACTGATCATGTTTATAATTATTTTCCCAACATTAAGATTAGTAAAGTCTCCAGGATAATCCTTAATATTTATTTCTGTAAACAGGAGGATGTACTTTGACCGGGTGACCACAGGACAGGTACAGTGCAGAAAACTTTTTGTGACATTTCCTTTGATCTCTATTTACTGTCCAGCATACGGTATGGCATATCACTGTAGTATTATTACCTATATTTTCATCCTGTATATGTTCCTGAGAAATAATACCTAGCATAAGGTCTGCCATATGTTTGGCCCCTCTTTCTCCCTAGTGACCCATTTGGAGTAGTAGGATGGGTCTGTCCTTGACCTTGTTCATCAGCAGGTATTGGTAAGGTCATTTTCTGTCTCCTACAGATTTCAAATTCCTAAAAGATGACAGCAGATGCCAAGTTTTCAAAAATAAATAAGAAATAAATAAACCACAGAGGCAAATGTTGCAAGAGCAGAGGGGCCAGAAGGAAAGCTTTCACTCACCCAAGGTCATCCACTGGGGCTGGCCATTTAAACATAGTTTATCTAACTGAGAGGCTGGCTAAGTTCATGAAAATACCTAGGACTTATTGGGTCTTTTCCCTTCAGAGTCACAATCCAAGAATTGCTAGCAAATCCCATGGGGAAGACACTGTAATTATGCAAAAGCCAGACAGTCAGAATTGGAGGAGAGCCTGGCTGAAGCAGACTAAGAGGGTCAGAGGACTATTGACGAATGGCCAGATCCCAAGACTTGAGCGGAGCCTCTCCACCCTTGACAGTCGGACAAGGCCGCTCTGGCTCTGCTTCCAGTCTCCTTGGCCCGCCAGAAGATGAGCTGGTGCATCCTTCTCAGTGCTGAGAGGTGACTAGGGCCATTGACTCCAAAGACTCAGGGCCTATTCAGCCCGCTTGTCTATAGATGTTATTGGTAACTTTCACGTAGTTAGCCAAGATGTGCTAATGGGCAATATCCAGTTTTCCAGCTTTTCTCTTATTGACCTCTGAAGTGGACCCTTGAAGACCTTCCCAAGGCAAAGGAAAAGAACCAGGGGGAAAAAAAAGAGCAATTTTAACTCCCCCTAAAATCCTTCTCTCTCTCTCTCTCTCTCTCTCTCTCTCTCTCTCTCTCTCTCTCCCTTTTCAGAGAAATGCTGCCCATGCTGTTTATCCCCAACCCACACACCAGAGCAGAGGGCAAGTGGTACCCTTCCCCTGGGAGCAGGTTTCCAGTGCATAAAGCAGAGGAGAGCCAGGCACTCAAGTTCTTCAGAGATCTGAATAGACAAATTTTTGTGCCCTATCTGGCCTCAAATTCACAGCAAACCTCCCACTTCAGCCTCGAAAGTGCTGGGATTACAGGCAGGCATCAACATGCCCAGTCTGAATAGATACCTTTTAAGGAAAGATTCTCTAACTCTATGCCAAAAAATGTCTCTCTGTTGCTTGTTCAACTTCAGACTCCTCAGACAATTTTCACATCTTCATTTTCTGGCTTCACCTTAAATATACTAGTTAAAATCTTTATAGCATGTTCAGTTGAACTTCCCAACTAAACCAGAAGGGCATGTGCTTACTAAAGTCTCTGGAATGTGCTGTCAAGGTTCTAAGGTTGGCTGTGTTTAGGATTTGGAAACCCAATTAAATGTCAAAAACAGAAGAGCAAGATAATTATTAGCCCCACTTTACCCAAGAATATTGAAGGATGGAGAAGCTTAGGTCCAAAAATCACAGTTGGGATTCAAATTCAAGGGCTGTGCGTTCTTTCTATCAACTTTATTTCTGATTGCCAGCATCACACCCAGACTGGTCCCCCACAGGTCATTCAGTCAGGTTGGTGACTCACTGTCCATCTCACAGGCTTGGTGAATCCCTATTCCAGTGCCCTCTTTCTGCTTCTTTAAATCCTATTCCTTATGCCAACCCTACCCATAAGGCCAAATTCAAATTCTATTTTATCCACAATGGTGCCATTTATTACCGGTGGTGATGACCATCCCACTCTTTCACAGTTCCACAACGTTCACTGTTGCCTAGAACATCGCTGTTCTTTAATTGTTTGGGGTTATTTTTAATCCCTTCATCACCTTCAATTTCTTTTCTAAAAGAATTATGCTTTCCCCCTCTGTCTTACCGGCTTATCCAGTACGGTGCCAAGAACCACACAAAGCTACCCTTTGGAGCACTACGATAACCCTTTTCAACTGCACAAAATTTTGAAAGTTTTATTTAGTAAAGGCTTTTTCCTTTCATCTGAAGACATTGCAAAGTGGTCTTTGAATTCTTATACAGTTCCCAGGAATCAAGGCAGCCCAACATAGTGGTACACGCCTGAACTCCTAGCAGGAGGGAGGCTGAGGCTAGTGTCCAGCTCATCCTGGGTTAGGTAGCAATACTGTGTCTCAAAAGAAGTAAAAGAAAGAAAGAAAAGAAAAAGGAAGGAAAGAAGGAAAGAAAAGACGAAAGGACGGAGGAAGGAAAGAAGAGCGAGGAATGGAGGAAGGAGGAATAACCAAGTCAGATCTGTGGTGAAACTACTATCTGGAGAAGAATTACTATCTCTGTCTACATGGAGGGAAACCTTGGCACTGGGCTGAAGGTGGCGAGCAAGTATATTTGGGAAACTACTGTAGATACCTTCATGGGGGTAGCTCATTTTGCATGTTCCAAGTTACTGCTTTTCTGCTTAAGAAGTTAGGAAAGTCAGTAGGGTATGGTCGTCACAAGATGTGGGAGCCCCTTTAGATCTGCCACCAGACAGCTTGTGTGGCCTCAGACAAAGGGCTTTGGTTCCCTACTTGCACAAAGTGGTATTGAACCAACTCCCAAGGTCCCTCCAGCTCACATCTGAGAATTGATCTCAGGTCCTCTGGAAGAGGAGCGGGGACTCTTAACCACTGAGCCATCTTCCCGGCCCCCCAGCTCACATCTGAAACACAATGTGAGAGAGAAGGGGAAAAGGAGGGTGTGAACATTCTACCTGTCCTGACAGGTTTAGGAGATTAATAAAAAGAGGCTGGCCAGCTCAGGTCAAGTTAGCTAAGTTCATCTCTAATTCTCCAGTATAGTTAAGAGTAGTTCAGGAAAAAAAAACAAAATCTGTACATAAAAGCGTATTCAAACTCATATTTTCTAGCCTATGAATGTAGCTCAGTGATAGAATGCTGGCCTGGCATGCACAAGTCCCTGGATTCAATCCCTAGGGGCATAAAACAAACATTTATATTTTCCAAAAGTGTCCTTTTTCTATAAAATTATTAGCAACCAAGTATACCAGTTGCCTAGCACGACAGTCAGGATGGTAACCATCATTCTTACTTGTCTAAATTTATTTTCCTTCTAACAGTACCAAAGTTCTGGAAAAACCTAACTTGCTACAAATAAATCCAGTCCGTGTTGCCTGGTATCTTCAATTCACATTCAGCCTGTATGAAATCATGACACACTTTGAAAATCAGGACCTGCTGATGAAGCGACCTGGGCATGAGAGCCAGAAGAGGATCTTCTCTGTATTCCCTGATCGTGACTACCTTTCACTAAGCCTCTCTGTGTGTTTTTTCTTGTTTGTCCTCACTAATAGAATGATTCTATTCATCAACTTTTGTTTTCTTTTTGTGGGGAGGGGTATTTGTTTTATATTTTATTTACTTATTTCTTTGCTCTGTTTTGTTTTGAGGCTGGGTCTCCCTGTAGCCACAACTGACCTGGAACTTGCTGTGTAGACCAGGCTGGCTGCAGCCTCACAGACATCCATCAGCCTCTGCTTCCTGAGTGCTGGGATTAAAGGCGTGCATCACCACTCCCCAGCCCAGTTCTTGTTTTCTTTTCTTTCCTTTTTTTTCGTTTTTGAGACAGGGTCTCCTGTTGCCCACCCTGCTCACCTCCAACTCTCCATATAGATGAGGATGACCGTAAACTTCTGAGTCTCCGGCCTCCGCCTCCTGAACGCTGAAGGCGCAGCACTAAGCCTGGTTTACCAATTGACTTTCTCAGCAGGTTTTCATTGGGATGAAATGAAATAATAGAAATGAATACTATGCAAAGCACGAAATGGTAGTCATGTCAGATGTGCGTTGTACCTGAGCTACATCTCTGAAAAGCTTTCCACAGTTAGTATAACACATGAGACCAAGAATTCAGGTCCTCTGGCTAAGAATTCAGGTTGATTTCCACCACAGCTTGTTAGTTATAGAACTGCACAAAGTCCTAGAACTAGTGAGGAGTAGATTCTGGATGGCCATACAGATTGATTGTCCCATCCATAGATCACTTTTACATAGGTGGTGCAGACTCTGGGAAAACAGATAGATGATCACATCTCAGCTACAACCAAACTCATTAGACTGTTTATTTAAAATAGAAAGGTATGCCCAGACTCTGACAGGAACATATGCAAGCAATGATTTATAAGGCAGGGCCCCTTAGCAATATTTCACCACTTTAAGGGCCTGTGGATGAGTGTTTTGGAAGTCTTGAAGTTGTAGGTAGAAGAGAAGGGGGGGTGGGGACTGTGTTGTTTCTCTCAATAAAAAATTCATAACTTTCATTACATTCCAGATGTATTCCTGAATTCCTGATTCCAAAAAAGTTAAGAATAAAAATAGATTATTTTAAAACTGAGTTTAAAGAGAGTATTCATTTAAGCCGAATGTCGTGTCATATCAGGTGCAGCCCAGGTAGTGTATAACAACCACTAGTATCCGGAATGATGTTGTAAGATACCATAAAAGATTCCATCATCCAAGAAATCTGTTCTCAAGGTATTTTACTTAACTACATAGGAAAAAGTAGCAGTTGTTGAACATCCAATGAAAGGGGACGAATGCTCTGAAGCTGGCTAAGAAACTCCACTGAGCAAGGTGGACTATGTGGGGACATGGTCACTGTGACAAGAAGGAAGTAAGGAATGCCCTGAAGCTGTGAGGTGTGAGGTGGCAAAGAACTGACCACAAAGTACGATCCTAGGAGGAGGCGGGGGACACTAGGCAGGGACCTGGGGTCAGCTGGCCAGTATTCTGGCTTGGACAACTGAATTAATGGTAGGCTACTAGACATGTGCAAATAAAGGTTAAGAAAATAATGAATTTGGTTTGAGATATGTTGAGTTTAAAGTCCTTTCGCACGGTCTAATTCCATTGGCCATAGGAAAGACTGAGAAGAGATTTACGGTTGGAGAAATTTATTTGGGACACACCAGTAAATTAGTGATGGTCAAGGCTGTTAATAAAGTTAGGAAACAAGGTATAAATGGGAATGATGTGGGGGAGTCTGAAATGAAACTGCATTTATTTGAATAAGATCTGATTGGTGAAGTATGAAATTTCATAACACCAAGGCAAAATGATGTTTGGAATTTTTAATATTTGCAGACCCCTTATTTGTACCACACATTTCAGAAAAGAACCACTTATCCATTTTGGAATTTGGGGTTGCACCTGCGCTTTTCCAGAGTCCTCCATTTCCAGGCTCAGTTTTCCCTATGAAATTGCCTGGGTGCAGAAGGGAGGCAGAGCTTTCCCTGGCAATCAGGTTCAACTGGAAAAAATGATCAAGATGTCACCTGATGCCACTGGCTCCCAAGTCTGTCCTCATCTAAGGCCCTGCCAGTTGCTGAACCAGCAGAGGAGACTCAGAGTCATGGAAAGAACGCTAAACTTAGAGTCAGAACCCTGGAGGGTGAGGCTTGGGCATGCCTCGGACTGCTCCTCAGTCCCTGGACAAGTCATTCAGCTCTAAGTCTGGATTCCATCCTTAGGCACCACCCTACCATCCTTGGGTCATGACCCCAAGAGCACTGGTGTTTAGGTGATAGTCCCCCAAAAAGGCATGAGTGGGCCCAACCACAAGCAGCCAGAGCCACATCTTCTGTGGCTTCTCCAAGGTGACCACAGATGGGGCAGGGGGGCTGTGTTGTTTCTCTCAATAAAAATTCATAACTTTCGTTACATTCCAGATGTATTCCTGAATTCCTGATTCCAAAAAAATTTAAGAATAAAAAGATTATTTTAAAACTGAGTTTAAAGAGCATATTCATTTAAGCCAAATGTCACATCTCCCGTGGCTTTGTCTCCACTTCATCCACACACTCCTGAGACTAGACTGCAACTTGAATCACTGTGGCTCTGTCAACAGTTAATGCAGCAGACGTTGCAGTTACCTTCTGCTGGTCAGTGTGAGGAGCAGGGGCAGATGTTCTGTGGGTGGACTGAATGTAAGCGACTCTCTGGAGGAATCTGCCTGCCCATGGAAAGATTTATGAAAATAATGGAAAACTGGGGCTGAAGGAATGTCTCAGCGGTTAAGAGCACTGGCTGCTTTTGCAGAGGACCTGGGTTTGACTCCCAGCACCACACGGGGACTAACAACTGTCCGTGACTCCAGTTCCATGGGAATCCAACACCCTCTCTGACCTCCGTGGGCATTACATGACACCATGACATGGGTACACTTACATACATGCAGGCAGTACACTCATACACATAAAATAAAGATAATAAAATATATTTTTAAAAAAAAGAAAGGAAAAGAAAATGCTAGAAAATGAAGAAAGCTCAGGCAGTTTTACAGAGGCTATAGGCGAGGTGCTGCAGGCACTCGGTTCAGAGAGGGGTCTCTACCATAGAATTCCTCCAATTACTGTCCACCACCGTGTGTATTCAGTTCTTTTAGGGAATAACATCCTTCATTTCCTGCCATGTTTAAGTTTAAATGCAAAAACTCCTCTTAAAAAAATAAAATGTTGGGAACTGGGGAGATCGGCTCAGTGGTTAAGAGCACTGACTGCTCTTGCAGAGGACCTTGGTTCCATTCCCAGCACCCACATGGCGGCTAACAACCATCCTTAACTCCAATTCTAGGGGATCTGATGCCTTCTTCTGACCTCCGTGAGCATTGCACAACACAGGTGCACTTACACACATGCAGCCAATACACCCATAATATAAAATAAAAGTAATAAATAAAATTAAAAAATCCAAAATGTTAACACTGACTTAAATTGACATAAATATATAAACACCATATTTAAAATTTTTGCCAGAAAGGTAAGGACAAGAAAGTAAAGATGGATAAAATTATTACAAACACAGGGGCCCAAATCGGACCCAGGAAGCAGGACGAACATCCAGTTCCTGAAGAATTTTCTTAATCTCCCACCACATATTCTACTTCAAGAATATGGAAATCATAAGTTCATAAGCATTGAGTGGTGCTTGATGGGGAAAGCGTTCACGACACAGTCCACATCATGGCCAATGTCTTGTTAAGGAGGCAGCTGGTAGAAGCAGGGTCTCCTGCCCTTTAGCCTTCCTCCATGCTTACCTTCCCAGAAGATAAGCAATTGAATTCATCAGTATGTATCTACGTGCAAGCTTTTCTCTTGGCCAGTATTACAACTCGTATCTTGAATGTCCCCTAAAAGCCTATTAAGTTAACGGCTTGGTCCTCAGCCTGTGATGCTTTGCAAGTCATGGAACCAGAAGAAAATTGGGCTAGAGAAAGAACACTGGAAGAAAGAAAGTTAGAACAATGGGGACATGCCCTTGAAGGAGATCCATGCACCCTGGTTCCTCCTCTCTTGTTTACTTACCAGCTACCATGAGATGGGCAACCTTGTTCTACAACACACTCTCACTGTCCTATGCTATCCAGTCTCAACAGACTTAAGTCTCCAGGAATTTCCTCTTTATACTGAGCACTTTGTTACAGTCATGGAAAACTGACTAACAACATACCCAGACCCCTAGAAATAGAGTGCACGAACTAGCATATGTTAGTGATTCCCAGACTCGGCCACATATCTAATCACTGGGAAGCTTTAAAAAAAATCCTGATATTCTGTGGCTGGAGAGATGGCTCAGTGGTTGAGAGCACTGACTACTCTTGCAGAGGACCCAGGTTCCATCCCCAGCACCCACATGGCAACTAACAACTATCCATATCTCCAGTTCCAGGGGATCCTATGCTGTCTTTTATCCTCCGCGGTGCACTTATATCCATACAGGTACTACACTCATACACATAAAAAATTTAAGAAATAATAAATAAAATAAGAATCCTGATAGTCTAGTCCATATACCATAGTAATTAGGTCAGAATAGCCAAGGACAGGAGCCAAAGAGTCATGCTTGTTGAAGAAAGCCCTCCAAGTACAGGGTTGAGGAGCTGGCTCAGTTGGTAAAGGACTTGCTATGCAAACCTGAGGACCTGAGTTTGGATTCCGCAGAGTCCATGTAAAAGATGGGTACAGTAGCATGCTTATCTGTAGCCCCAGACTTCCTTCAGTGAGATAGGAAGCAGAGACTGTAGAGTCCTAGGGGTCTCACATGCCAGCTAGCCTAGGTTACACAGCAGAGAACAAGACTGCCTCGAACAAGGGAGAAGATGAGGACTGGTGCCCAAGGCTGTCCTCTGACCTCCACACGAGCACTGTGACAGGAGAGCATCCTCACTCACACACACAATCTGCACATCATTCTTGCACAGAGCAAAGTTTGGGACCCACAGGCGAAGGTAGACCCACAGCTGTGGCTGGTTAATTCAGCTGACTGGATCCTGGTATTAATATGT